CCCAAATAAGGACTGCCCCACCACCGCCAACTGCTGTTCTATCATCGACATCTGCTGCCCTGAAAACAGATAACATTGCCCCAAGGGTATCCAGGTCAAAAATTGCTTCACCAACGATAACAACAGCACCCCACGACACTAACAAAACCACCTCAAACCAAGAAACAACACTTTCCACAGCAACCATTATAGTAGAACAAAGAGGCCGAAATGCTACAAGTGATGCTTCCTTTGTGAGTCAGGGTATGATCCCTCTGCTGCTTGGACTCCTCGTATTTACCCTCTTTTAGGAAACAGAAGATGTACCCAATTAAGCTGCTAGAAAGACTATGACAGGGTTTCTACGTGCTAGATTTGGCTAAACTGTCCACAGACATCTGTAGCTGGCGGTTACCGGGGTTAGAAAACACAAATGAAGGAATAAGGTGATGTTCTCTGAATCAAGCTAAGATGTAACAAGAAGTCTGCAATGTAGTAGACACATGTAGAAAAACAAGGGGACACTATTTTTCCCCACTGTCGTTCAAAATGTATAATGAAAAAAAAGCCTGTTGTTTACTCAATAATGAGGACTTCAAGCTGTGCAGTTGCATGAACATACAGCTCCTTCCTCTCATGTTTTAGGATATAAAATGTCAATGTCATCATAGATTGTGTAAAGACAAAATGTTTAATTTAACATCTAATTTAATTTTTCCTGTTGTCACATATCTTTCATTCAATTGGATTTTTATTTATCTTTAATTATGCTATTATTTATTGAGTTATTATTCAAATCTGTTGTATTGTCTTTATTGCTTTAATCACATTCATATACTATTGAAAGGTGGACTGTGTAATATGATATTGCCTGTTTAATAAAGCTTTCCCTATGCTTTGCAAAACATCACGTTTAAGCCCATTTGTAATTTTTCAGTGCTGAAAAAACGTACTCCACACACATATAAATATGTACCTTAATGTTTTGTTACAGTAATAAGAAATGAGGAATCTGTCATGCATATATCAAAGGCAGATAGTCAATTATTGTTATTATATTTCAGCCCTTAATTCACAATCAGCTGTTAAGCAGACAGAGAAGCACAGCCCTGAGTAGTTGTCTGTGTAGGCTCTCAGTCATCCAGGTCAGGGTTAATTCAAAGCTTGATCCAAAGAGATCTTCAGTGGCGATTCTGGAGTCTGTTGGGCCCTAGGCAAAAGTCTTTGGGAGCCCCTCTAGGGTTCATCATCATCATGTTAACAATAATTTGACACCAACAGTGCTAGACTAGCAACATTCAGTCATTTACTTTTCCATGAGTGACTGCTGTCAGATGGGGATACTTTCGGCAGTGGCGATTCTGGAGTCTGTTGGGGTCCTAAACAAGAATCAATCTGTGGGCCCTCCAACCAGCGTCCATCAGCATTATGTCCGCAGTGATCCAAAACTTACTCCTCTTCCTCTTTTTTTCATGTTTCTTTTTTTCTCTCATGTAGACGGATCCTTCTTCTTCATTTTTCTTTGTTGACTTTCATTGACACACTTGCAACGTTTAGCAGGGCAACAAGAGTGAGTCCAGTTAGTTGGGGGCCCACTTAGGGTTGTTTCTTACTGTCATTGCAAAATTAGCACATTTTGGGCCACTACTTTGGTTTAAGTATGTGAGCCCTCAGTGGCCCCCCCTACTGGTGCGGGGCCTTGAGCAGTTGCCTGCCTTGCCTGTTGACAAGCAGCGCCTCTGACTTTGGGGAGGTTTCCATCTGTCTTTGCAAACATTGAACATTTTGAGCCACTGCTGTGATTTCAAATTTGTCAGGGGGAAGGTACACTGAGACTAATGCTGCATTCATGTGGTGTCGGACATACCGGAAAAACAAGTTTCCGGGTTGTAAAATTCACATGAACACCTGCTCAAGACGGAACAACAATTCGGAAACTCAGAAAAAAAAAATGACGTGCCCGACTTGTCAACTTGACGTCAGAATGGTCATCATAGGACATTAATGGACACAGTCCCTATAGCATGTTTATTATTGCCCCCTCTGATGATATGTGATTATTTTTCTTAAATGAGTTGAGGGACAGCGATCTCGAGAGTGAAATAAAAGACTATAAGGAGAACATAAAATCACAGATCTTCTTTCCTTTTCTGGCCTTCACACGTTCTTTGTTTGTCATGTGGCATTTAGTGACTGACTTTCACTTTCCGGTAAGTAAAAACTAAAGAACTGGAACGAAAAATGGATCAAATATCTTATCAGGTAAGAAAGTGGGTTTGAAGTATTTACAACTCAATACCCGGTTGATTTGTTTTGTGGCTACCGTAATTTTCCCTTTTTCTGTTCTGTTCCAAATCCTGCCAAGAAAAAAGAAACTGAAAGGCAGAAAGTACAAAGGGTGTGGGGAAATGTTTGGTGACGTGATGACTTTTCATTGAGGCGACGACCGTCTGAAGGATCACAAAAAAGGTGAGCACACCTTGTCCTTATGGTCGTTAAAATATACCACACCTGTTCTAGCGACAAAGAAACGCAGTACCTCTATAGAAAGAGTAAGGAAGGAAGAGTGGCATTTTACTCTCACAAAAGAAGGGTGCTGCCTGCTAACATTTTATTTCATGACTCAGTTTACACTGGTTTCCTCGATGTATGAGTGCCCCCTTGTGGACGAACATATACCACACATTAAATGGAGCGCAGCGTAAGCTCAAGCAGAAACCAATCATCCTGCTGCTTTCCCATTTTCAAATCTGTTCTCTCTCTTCAGCAGTCAGTTTGTTAATTCATTGGGAGTCCCACCTACCAGTGTTTATCAGCATTATGTCTGCCAGTGTCCCAGACTGTATGGATGAAGCCTGAGTGACGTCAGCCATCTTGTTCCTGCAGGGGGCTCTGGAGGCTCATCAGCAGCAGCCGCCATGTTGGCTGTCACAGTCTAACTTTCAGTCAGCCTAACGACAGGCTGAGACCTGGAGCTGAGGTGGGTCAAGCCTCTTGTCGAACCATTACATCCCGCCCACCTGTCAATCAAGTCAGCTATATATATATATATGCGCCTAACTATGGATAACACAAAACGTTTTCAAAATCAAAAATGAGCCATTTCAGGAAAAATTCAGGACCTATTTCGTTTTTGTACCAGACTGTAAAAATGTTAATTTCTGGGGCGCTGGTGGCGCAGTGGTTAGTGCGTGGAGGCTGTAGTCTCAAGCGGGCGGCCCGGGTTCACATCCCACCTGTGGCTCCTTCCCGCATGTCGTTCCCTCTCTCTCTCCCTCCCTTTCGACTCTATCCACTGTCCTATCTCTCCATTAAAGGCATAAAAAGCCCAAAAATAAATCTGTTAATTTCTGCTGTCTTTTTGCAGTCATGTGTATGTGACTTTCGGTGTTCCTGGAGCCAGCCTCTAGTGGACACTCGATGAACTGCAGGAATTTTCACTTCCCCACTGACTAAATTTTTCAAGACCGGAGGTTGCCGCTTGGTCCCGACGCTAACCCCTCGTCCTCTTTGTTCCTCTTTCTTTTTTCACTCCCACACTCCCTCTTCCTTTACTTTCACTGACAAATTTTGGTTTTCACAGCAATAATTTCATGCTACGTTTAGCAGGGCAATGTCAGTGAGTGCCGTCAGATGGGGGCCCCCTTAGGTAGGTTTCCTACTGTCATTGGAAAATGTGCACATTTAGAGCCTTTGCTGTGGTGTAAAGTTTGTCAGCCCTCGAGGAACCCCTTTATGTCCTGGTGCCCCAAGCAGATGCCTACCTTCCCTGTTGACAAGCAGTACCTCTGGATACAGAAACCCACTCCTCATCACATCCTGCATACCTCCATCACCACCACCAGGGTCTAGACTCCATAGGGGGGTATGCTATCCTGTTGTCGGCCTCCCTATCCCTCTGAGTCCAATCACCAAAGACACTGTGTATTCATCTTTTCCTAAACTGTTAAATAAATCATGTTCACTCTTATGTAACTCTCTTCTGATTGAAATGAGAGTGAAAATGCATCCCACTGAAAGAATATAACATTTTGTTTCACATGACTACCAACATTTTTAAACGACCTCTCCTCGTTCGGCTTAAAGTCTTAACGGTTACTTGCGGTTACTTAACGGTTGGCATGCTGCTTGCCTGAAAACATCATTACCTGTGTGTGCATGTGAGCTCTTCTTACGCACTTTTCCAAAAGGATTTTTTTGGCCTTTTACTGCCTTCATTAGATATGACAGGAAGCAAGAAATGTTGGGAGGAGAGAGAAAGGGGGATGACATGCAGCAAAGGGCAGAGGCCGGACCCGAGGACCACAGCCTGTCTGTCAAAAATCATTACCTGTGGGTGCTCATGAGGAAGAACATATTATATTACCTGTGGGTGCACGAACACATCATTTTCTTGTTCCTCATGAGGAAATACTTCATGTTTTATATGCTGATTGGCTGTGAACAGTTTGAGTGTAGGATGTGGTTTTAGAACTATAATGATATCATTACAAATCTAATTATGGGGCATTTATTTACACATGTAAGTGTGTGCTATTATTGAAGAATGTTTTGGATGAGTACAACTCTGCAAAGAGTAAGAGTTCTTCTTCTATGTCAGGCCTACTCAACTGGGGGGTCCAGGGGCCAACTCTGGATGACATCAGACTGGCCCGCGGATCAGTTCTAGTTACAATTAAAAAATAAATCAATAACAAAGGGGGGGGGGGGGGGGGGGACTTGTGAATGACTGTCATTAAGTGTTAAAAACAGCAGAGTGCTCCCGTTTAATAGAACATCTTTGGTCATCCTGTGCTCACAGCCTATCACAAGCTTGTGTTGTACTGCTGTGGTGGGCTGGCTTGTCTGGATTTGATTTGATAAGAGTTTGAAAATGTTCTTCAGGATAGTAAAAAACAAATGTGTGTGTGTGCCTGTCTGGTTGGGAGCCTCGATTTTCATACTTAATAATTAAGTGTCACATTATAACAGATACCTACAGAAAGTAACATCTTGACATCAACTTAATACCGACATTGTGCTCTCATCAAAGTCATCGTTTATTCCAAAAATCATGATGAATAAAAACACAAAAACATGATTGTCACTAACAATAGGGAAACAGGAGCTCTTTGGCTAACAACATTTCAACGACAAATGAATTGACTGTTCGCACTACAGGAGGCTGAATAGTGAAGGGCCTTTTCACGGGAGGTTAAAGCTCTTCTTTCTTCTTTAAGATGATCTGACGCACCAGGTCAGATATTTTAGGTCGGAGTTCTTTGACAGAAACTTTGGGCCCCCATGCGTCCACCACATTGCCCTTTACGTCAATGAGATACTTCCAGAAGTTCCAGTTCGGCTCCTTTTCAGAAGACTCTGAAGAGAATGAGAGAAGAAGAAGATATTAAAGCGACCATGATTTAAAAATCTCTCTCAAGTGCAGTGTGCTCCATTTTGACTCCCGTCAAGAAACAGCTTTTTTCCATTGGTTCTTCCAAATAAATTTAAAAATCACGGGGCGCTGGTGGATCAGTGGTTAGTGCGTGCACCCCGTGTATGGCGGCTTTGGTCCTCCAAGCGGGCGGCCCAGGATCAAATCCCACTTGTGGCTCTTTTCCCACATGTCGATCCTCTCTCTCTCTCCCTGATTTCCGACTCTATCCACAATCCTACCTCTCCATTAAAGGCACAAAAAGCCCAAACATCACTCTTTTTTTAAAGGAAGAATGTGCAACTTTTTGATCCAGTAGATGAAACCAAAACATGAAACCAAAACAAACTGCTGTTTGGCCACACCTCCTCCATACTGAGCCTCCGGTCTCCTCCAGAGACACACCTCCACTCGCGTTCAAATAAAAGAGTTTAGAACAAGTGGCGGCCAAAATTAATGCTAATGCATGCTAATGTTAGCGCTCTTTAGTTAGCCTGTAGCTTCACATTGCATGTAAACTTACACAGAATGACCTTCATCTAAACGATCAGGTCGTACAGTGTGAGCACATAAATCGTGAGCTTTGGTCATGCGTCATAAAATGCAGTTGTACAGTTTAAGCTAACTTTTCAGCACAACTTTTATATGTTTAATTTACTGTGTACACCTGGCATTTTTACTTGATATGTCCATTTTTAAAAAAACCTTTTAAGCCATAAATAAAAGAGAAGATCTGATGACACATCTCACTCACCTGCAAGATACTTGTACACATTGTTGGCTCCAGGTCCGACAACAGCGATTTTGCTGAACAGGGGGAAGGAGACGTCGTAGACTCTGCGCACAAAGCTGTCGATCTCCTTGTCGCTGCCCGGCTCCTGCTGACCGAACTGGTTGCAGGGGAAGGCCAGCACGTTGAAGTGATACGGCCCGAAGTCCCGCTGGAGCTGCTGGAGGTCTTTGTAGTGTTCCTCAGTGAAACCACATTCACTGGCTACATTCACCACCAGGGACACCTGAAGACACAGTAACACACAAACAGCTGAAGCCTTTGAATTTAAAGATTAATTAGCGCCTGTTTCCACAACAGAAGTAGAAATCCAAGACACCAAATATCCACTTTTTGAAGGTTTCAGTCTCGTCTCAGAATCGAAAAGCATTTTGACTCGGTCTTGTCTAGGTTTCGGACTGGGTGGACTCCAGATGAATTTTAAATCAAGATCGGTCAGGAACTGGTACACACAAATATTTGCGGGCCAACTTGGAGAGTCTCTGCTGTCAGCAGAGCGACGAGTCGCCCTCATGTAAGTTTGTTTCTTCTAAATCGCTCCCCTGTTGATTTTGCCACAACATTACAGTCTTCATTCACTGAGGTCAAGAGTGCATGTGTTGAAAGATCAGAAAGAGTTATGCAACTGTTGAATTTGTTTTGACCATATATGTTGTTTTTCTTTTATTATCATTTAATCCTTTTATGTCATATAGTCATAACTATTTTTTTTTTTGCTTTTACATATCCTGTTAATCATGCATACATCTGCGGTGCCTATGCACCTGTGAGGTCAGGATAAGTGTGCCATACTTTGAGCAAAACCACTTAGGAGCTCGTAAGTGTATAGCGTTTCTGCAAATCTGCCTGGTTCACGGTCTTCGAGCTAAAACCACATATGAACTTAGTATCACCTGTGTAACTTTTTGCATTGACATTAAAACCACATATGAACTTAGTATCACCTGTGTAACTTTTTGCATTGACATTAAAACCACATATGAACTTGGTATCACCTGTGGATGTATCACGTTTCTGCGAATATGCATTGTTGAGGTTTTACAGAATCTTGGAAAAAAGGAGACAGTTTGGCTATAAACACGTTGTGGAAAAGCTGATCGAGGTTCTTTTTTACTTTTCTAAAGGACTCCACGTCACTCTGACTTTTGAATCGCCATTTTGGGACTTAGTCTCTGAGACCAAGATCTTTTAAAACCTCAAGTGTCTACACTCTCAGGTTTAGACTTTGGTCTTTGTGTTTTGCTTTTACTTTTTACATTTTTATATTTTTACTTTTACTGTCTTGTATTTTGAATATCTTTTGAAGTTTTTTCAATAAATTTTCTGAAACTTTTTGAAATCATTTTCTGACTGAAATCATTCACACCACAAAGACCGCGTCTCTCTTAAGGACGCCGCGTGAACCTCGGGAGGTAAGCTTGAGCAGTCACACACGGCACACTTCTACTGACTTTTACTACACACCTCATACACACCTAACATCCTAGTGAGGAGAGTTGCAGTTATTCCCTCTCCGGGGGTGCGAGCCTCTGGGGGGTAATCTGTCCTGAATCAAGGATTATACTTGAATCTAATTATTCTAGAAATGAATGTTAGGCCTGTTGTTATGTTAATCCTAAAGATATGTGGTTATACAAGTCCTCTCTTCTCCAAAGGGTGTTAGCAGAGTCATTTTACATAGCTCCAGGTACTAGGAAAGAGTAGACTAGCGGCTGGTAGGGAGCGAACTCTCACATAGTACTAGGAAAGAGTAGACGAGTTAACTAATGGGTGGTGAGCTTCTGTTAGCTATAGTAAAGTTATTCACCCCTTTTTGCATGTCCAGGACATGTTACACATGCTCAAGGTCAAGTTACACTGAGAGCGCCCTCTGCTGGATCAAACTGTGAAATGCTTCAGACAGCCTGATGCGCCGATAGACTGTACTGTATATTTTGAATTTGAGCGGCTCATTACAGTTTCCATTGTGAACTTTCTCCCCCCAGGGTTTGAATTAATGTTCAAATTGAGAATAAGAATTGACAGCTCTACTGCGTGCACACATCGCCCTGACTTCACTCTGAACATTTTAAAAGGGGGATGGCAGGAAAACCCTCAGGTGGGAGTGAAAAATTGTTGCTGTTAGTGTTCACACATGCAGCACACTCTGGTTTTCAGTTTTGTGCACATTTATCTTAATTGACCAACCATGTTAGCATGCTAATATCTGAAGTGCTCATAAAGTCTAAAGGGATGAATGTGTCTGTAGTTCACCTTTCCTCTATACGCTTTAAAGAAGTGTAGGGGGCGGGGCACACCTGTACAGGTTTGCAGCATAGAAACAGTGAAGAGTGTTAGTAAAGATGGCCGCTCATCAGTGAAACAGTTAAAACTTCATGCAGCCTTTTGTTTTGACTTTGAAGGCTCAGTCAGACCACAGCATGACAGTTAGATGATCCCATGTTGTTGTGCTGACCTCTAGTGTCACGATGAAGGAGTGTAATGTTTCTGAAAACCTCCTGGAGCTGCACTTCAGAGATTCTAAATAAAAAAACAATCAACTACATATTTAATATTTCAGCTAGGACTAGTAAATGTGAGAGTTTGGATCCCTCTCTGAAAGAGGTCTTAGAGGTTTAGGATGTTTTTGTTTAAGGTGTTTAATTGAGCATCATTTGAGCTCAGTTTAACGTGACACATTAAGGAATAATTCATGTTTAGCTTTATTCCTATTCACACAAGATTTAAGTCAATAAACATTCATTTTAAGTTTATAATTATAAGTATTCTGCAGTCATCTTCTTGTCTCATTTGTAGGCTATGAAGAGAGTTACTGATTCATTACAAACCAGCGTGATAATCAATAAGTTCAGACAAGCTGCATACAGTCTGCAGTGATTTGTGTAACGGTATCAGTGTGTTGTGTGCAGATTAACTCTGATCCTGTTGATCCGTACCTTGTTTGAATGAAAGCGGAGCTCTGCAGGCCTCTTGCCACGTAGGCCATCCGGGCTACATGACGGGACATCCCGGGCAGCTACAGGGGGAAGTCTACCCTTGCAGCAGTTTGTGTTAGTTAACTTACATCTACACACCGAGCATTAAGAGGGACAGAGAAGCAGAAAAACAAAACATCCATTCGTGCATGCAAAGAGCGTGCTGCGGATCAATCTGCGGACTTTATTGTTGTTAAACTGAAACGTGAAACGTGAAAGTCCCCCCCCCCACTCACCGATCCTCGGTATTTCTCCAGGGACACCAGCTTCCCTCTGCTGTTTACCACTTTAAAAGTATAAAAGTCTTTTTGTTTGCTCTCAGAGACGCTGAAGAAAGTCAGAAACACGGCGAGCGCTCCGAGAAGCATCTTTGTATCCTGACTCAGACTGCCAACGCAACAGCAGAGGCGCTTCTTCTGCAGACTCCTCAGGACCTCCTCCTCCTCGACCTCCTCCTCCTCGACCTCCTCCTCCTGACACCCCCTCCTCCCCAGGTGTCCCATAAGCAGTCAATGATCTGTCCTGGAAGTCAAGTTACAGACTGAAAGGACAACATTTCCAGAACCGACCAGAACCAACAAAATAAGCTTCGACTCTGAAATTGTGTAGAACATATAAATTATAATAATACGAGACAGAACATACAGTACGATGTTCAGGCTATAATAATGTGTCACTAAAAGTCAAATAGGCTACGTAAAAAATGAACAGGCTATATTGAGGCCCTGTACGTAGCCTATAATAATAATAATAATAATAATAATAATAATAATAATAATAATAATACGTTGTTTTTTTATAGCGCTTTTCTAAGAACGCAAAGACGCTTTGACAAAATACTCTTTTTTTAATTATTACTTTATTGCAGGCTGTTTTATTACATTACAAGTTGTCATATTTCATCACAAATTTTGTTCATCCTGGCACATTTTTATATATATAATTTTTTAAACATACAAGAATACATACAACATGAAATAAAAATAAATAAAGATCTAAAGAAAAGGTATGAAGAAAAAATAATACTAATAAGAAAAATAATAGATAGATAGATAGATAGATACTTTATTGATCCCGAGGGAAATTCAAAGCATCCAGTAGCAGGTTACAAAGACGTACATGACATGAAACATGACCCCCCCCCCCCCCCCCCATACATGTTTATTAACCTGAAAAAAAGATTTAAAGTATACCCCTAGATGAAACAAACTTAAACTGTGCAGTTAAAAAATAGATTTATACAAGAAATGTACATAACCCCGTGCAGGGATAAAAATATATGTGCAATTTAAACAATAACCTATAAACAGTTGAGGAAAAAATCTGTAATTAAACCTGTAATAATAATAATAACAATAAAATTAAAATAAAACTGTAAATAGAATGGGGGGGTTGTTCATTCACTACTCCCTTAATTCAATATAATTTAATTAACATTATTTACATTACAAGCAACTCTTATGTACGGTATTTGAACGCAACACGTTACGCCCCTCTTATGTACGGTATTTGAACGCAACACGTTACACGCCCCTCTTATTTACGGTCTATGAACGCAACGCTACACGCCCCTCTCCGTGAAGACTCGCTTCCCCACAATGCAGCGCGGCAGTGTATTAACATGGCGTCAGTGGTGGCTGTCTGGAGCAGGGCCGTGGGATTCTAAAAACATGATTTAAACGGAACCATGGAGACAGTGAATCTTTAATCCCGGGTCACGTTGAGAGCTGGAGGGGAGAGAGGTAAACCGAACCGTTCCGTGCCGTGATGGTCGAAGTTGTTTGGGACGGTTTGTAACGACCCGCCGCTGAGTGTCGGTGTTATTTATCTCCCGTTAGCTCACACCGGCTAACGGCTGCTAGCTTTCAGCAAAGTCGACTCAACAGTCTTCAGGAAGTCAACACGAAGCCTTCCCGGAGGACAACAAACAGCTCATGGTTTAATGGTGAGCAAATACACACACATGTATATATACTGATCCAAAATACCTGCGTGACCCCCCCCCCCCTCACGTCTCTGTTTTGAAAGTTAGGTTCACGTTCACTCCGGTGTTACGTCGGAATCTGCCTCCCTTGCAGTTTCGTTTGTCTTTAACCCGAAACATAACTTAGATGTGTTTACAAGCAACCAGACGGTGTTTACCACAGAAACCACCTCCTACAGTCACTGAACATCACCTAACAGTACTAAACATTACCTTACATAAGATAATAACCTCTAACTTAACCTTACAGTCACTGAACATCACCTAACAGTACTAAACATTACCTTACATAAGATAATAACCTCTAACTTAACCTTACAGTCACTGAACATCACCTAACGTCACTTTAAATAACCTCTTACGTAACCTGACATCATCAAACGTCACTAAACATTACTTTACATCACTCAACATTATCAAACATCATCTCATAGGGGCGGCTGTGGCTCAGTGGGTAGTGTCAACCGGAAGGTCAGGGGTTCGACACTTAGCCCTGAATTACCTGAAAACCCTGAAATGGGATTAGTTACTTCTGATGGCATAGCATCAGTTTGTGAATGTGTAGGTGTGACATGTGGTTCTACACAAGTTCAAGTCCAGTCCCCTATTGGGCTGGACGGCTGGGAGGAGGATGAGGGACAAAATCACAGCCATCCTGGACAACTCCTCTCACCCTCTCCATGATGAGCTGTGGCAGATGGGCAGTTCCTTCAGCCATCGTCTCCCCCCCCCCCAGGTCCAAAACTGAGCTCTTCTGGCGCTCCTTTTTGCCTACCGCCATCAGCAGCAGTGTGTCCTTCCCTGCCACATCGCCACTCTGTCACTCATGTTACATCAAGATGCTTATTTTATATTATTGCTTACTTTTCTCACCTTTTTCAACTCTGTCACTTTAAGTGAAACTTGCCTGCATGTCTCAATGTCCTGTACAGTTTGTAGTGTAAAGTTCAGATCTTAATTGGTTTGTAGTTTACTTAATACTTGCTTATAATAGTTGTAAATACGTTATACCTTTATCTTTATTTTCATTTTATTTGTACACATGCATGCTCTTCTTCTTGTCTTTGACTGCATGATCCCCACTGGGGATCAATAAAGGATTATCTTATCTTAACAACATCCTAAACCGTCACCTAACAACCTCTCAATTGATTTTGATTCTTAGGGTCAGGGTTCGATTTGATATTGAATTGATTTCAGAATCAGAATCTGGGTTTATTACCAAGTACATTTACACATACAAGGAATCTGACTTGGTGTATTGGTAATAAAGCAGAACTAACAACAACTTAAATAATACAGAATAAGAAGATATTACAATATATAAAATAGAATTTAAAAATGTAAAATAAAAAACACAAAATGTACAAAAGGTGATAATCATCAAACCAATCTGCCAAGGCATTACATATGGAAGTCAGCCTAAGGCCCGTGTCCACTAGCTTCTAAGTATTTGCAGCAGAAAGCGTCTTTTTCTGCCTTTTTAGTGCGGCCGCTCAGAGCGCTCAAGTTGAAAATCTTCCAACTTTTCAGAAATGCGCCGTTGATGTCACCGGTGCTCTGTTCCAAATTTGTATTTTTTCCACCTATGGATCGTGTCTTGTACAAACATCGTCTTTGCTCCGTGTCTGATCTCAAATATAAAACATGCAGTAAAAAGTTACACGGAGCAGTGTCGGTCATACAGTGGCCGTTGTCAACATACTGTTGTCATGGAGACAGGACGGTTCATGCAAACACTCCGGACTGCACAGCCAGCGCTTTTCTGCCTGGAAATTATTCTTTTAAAATGTGAATTAAGTGCAGATCTGTGCCTGAGCTGAGTTTACAGCACAAAAGTAAAAAACACAACTGAGCTGTCAAGTGAATGTTCACCTAGACACCTTTTAAAACACCAACTTTTAAAACCTTAAAAATGTTTCACCTGAACTGAATGTTTCTATCGCGTGTCATGCTTTAATATTCTTTTCACCCAGACTTCAGGTGGCCAGCCTCCCTGGTCGTCCTCAGCACGGTTTTGACACCTCCACGGACACAAACTGAAGAACTGGAGGGATGGATGAGTCCAAAAGTCCAGTAAAAACGGGCAAACAGCCTCAGCCCCGAGGAGCCAAATCTTCACCCAGCGAGAAGTCCAACAGGGAATCTCCCTCGCAGAGAGAGGGCGCCAGGTGCGCTCCCAGCAGACAGCAAAACTTAACCACGGCAAAGGATGAACACACAGGCAGCCAGGGAACCCGCGGGTCAGGCAAGACTTTCACTGACGCGCCCCAGGACAAGAGGAGAGGCCGGCCCTCCAGGCTGACTAGACTGACGGGAAGGACGAGCTCTGGGGAGAGAGGGAAGGGGAAAGTGTCCGGCCCGCAGCAGCACCTGGCGGCTCACACGATGGACTCCCGGGTGTCTGTGTCTGCAGACAGCAGCCCCTCGGCGAGCAGAGAGATCAGCTCTCCTGCAGCGCCGGGAGCACCTGAGAAAGTCCTCACAGAGAAGGTGAAAAGCACCACTGCAGCTCCAGCTAAGGAAAAGTCCCAAGGTGGGTTTGCAAGATGTTCAGAGCCGAGGTTATTTTGTCTTCTTCAGTAAATGTTTCTCTGGTTTTAAGTGTGTGATTGTTTGTAGGGGTGAGAGCCGGCGCTCTGATGCATCCATCAGACAGGAGGCCCAGTGTGGAGGAAGCCCCCCTGACGGATCAGCAGCTGGGCCTCCGACAAGCAGAGGAGCGCCTCTACAGAGACTACATCCATCGCTTGTTGAAAGTAAGGAAACTGTCCTGTTGTGTAGCGCTCGTGTGGCTCAGCTGATTTTAACCTTCTGTGTGGTCCAATCAGTATTCACCAGGTGATGATAAATGGAGTCTCTACTTCCTGTTTTCTTCATCAAAGACACATTTAAACAAATCAAACTGGGTAGCTTTAGGAATTGTTTCTGTGTAAATTAGCACTTTTATTCAAAGTTTCTTTGGTGGAAATTAGTTTGAATCGTTATCATCGATACGGGTGAGCGTCAGGGACAAAATTAGCTTGATTTTATATTTTCCTATTTGAGTGTGCTAACAGAACCGCGATCTACTCAGCGTGCAGTTTAATCCCAGACGCCCCGTTTGTATTTTCCTCTCTGTTGCTCGAGTAGACGTGGACGAGGAACGAATAAGGAGGGTGCTCTACAAGGCTCTGGCAATTAATTTTCTTACTCAGCAGAGAAAAGTGGAGATAACAGTGCATTCATAAAATCCACATCTGTGATTGAAATGTTGTGACTTTGATTTGTGTCAACACGGGAGAAAGTCTTTGTTCGGCTCACCGCGAGCCTCTGGGTGTTGTTATTTGAGTCGACAGCTTGTCAATACAAAGCATCGCAATTCTGTTTGGCAACCTTCAGAATAAAAGCATCACTCTTCTGTATGTTCACCATCAGAATAAAACAACCAGTCTTCTAGTGTGTCCACCTTCAAAATAAAAGAATCACATTTCTGTTGGTTCAACTTCAAAATAAAAGCAACACACTTCTGTTCGTCCACCTTCAAAATAAAAGTACCAAACTTCTGTTTGTTCACCTTGAAAATAAAAATATTTTCTTTTAACTTCAAAATAATAGCATCACACTTTCAAATTAAAAGCACTGCACTTCTGTTATTCGACCTTCAAAATGAAAGCACCACTTTGCTGTTTGTCAACCTTCAAAATAAAAGCACAACATGTTGTAATGTTCACATGGGGAAACTGCAATTCGCAGAGAAGTAAATATTTTAAGTCCCTATGAAACAAAAAAGAAATGTTTCTGGTTTAAACCAGCGTTCTTGTGTCAAAAGTTCATTTTATCTGCCAAATTCAACAAGGCATATTTTTTTCTCCTCCTATAAAACATTTTAAATGTTTGACTCATTCTGCACTCGGCGGCGTTTACACATTTTGACCACTTAAAAAGCTTAGTTGAAGCTAACAATCCAATCAAATTCATCCCAACACTATGTCCCGCCTTCTGTCTTGTGATTGGTTCTATCCCGTTTCAGTAGGAAATACGTCTCGACCCATCAGTTAGATACTCTTGGAGTTCAGTTTCATTGGGGACTTTAATGGATGCAGTGTGGACAGCGAGCGTCCGATGCTGCGTGATGTGACGCGATATCTAACGCTAAATATGGTCAGTGAAGACCAGTCACAAAAATATATCCTGGGTATGTTGATCTCTGTTTGTGGTAGAGCCCTCTGGTTGGTAAAAGGTTGTGATCATGTTTAGGATTACAAATCCCAGAGTTTCACCCCCCCAAAAAAACCTCCATAAGCTGATTTTTTTCCTCTTCCTTTGTTTTCACAGCAGTCTCCCGAGTACCCGAACTATCAGTACTTATGCAAGCTCTGCTCCGTCCACATCGAGAACATCCAAGGAGCGCACAAACACATCAAGGAAAAGAGACACAAGAAGAACATAACGGTACGGGAATCTTAAGCAACACTTATCTTAAAGGGGCTCAATGTCAGAGTTAGGATGATAGATTTAATTTATTCTGCTTGTGGTGTATCAGGAAAAACAGGAGGAGAACGAGCTGCGTGCCCTGCCCGCCGCCTCCGCTGCCCAACTGAGGGCGGTGGATGCGGCCGTCCTAGAAACGGCCAAGGAGCACGGCATCTCGGAGGAGGACTTTGAGGTTCGGAAGGCCGTGGTTGTCAGGATGGAGGAGATCATAAAGAGGCACCTCTCAGGTTGTCTGCAGGACCCCATGTGTCTGTTTTTACATAAAGAGCGGTTTGAAAAGTGTGACATGTACCTCGTTCTATGTTTTAATATGCCTCCTTTGTTTTTTTCCAGCTTGCTCCCTCCGACTCTACGGCTCATGTCTCACCCGATTTGCCTTCAAGACGAGTGATATCAACATCGATGTCGTCCACCCTTCCTCGGTGAGTTGTGCTCTTTCACCAGACGATGATGCTTTTTGTCTATAAAACCTGAACACGTTGTTAACTGGCGTTTGGTCTCGTCACTTCTCTCAGATGACACAACCCGAGGTCCTGATTCAAGTGCTGGAAATCCTTAAAAACTGCTGTAAGTCTCACTCAGTGCATTTCATATTTTGTCTCAAGTTACAGCTTCTGCTTAGACATCGTTTATCTGCTTGTTATTTGGTAAAATATTTATTTTTAAGACCTCACGTGGGAGAATAAGGGTGCACACACTTGACAATCCGTACTGTGTCCGGGCACGTTTAACCCCCAAAGTCCAGTTTGTTTGACTAGTGTGTATGTGCTCCGTTCTACTCTTCCTTGACCCCTGGCACGGTTGGAGGAGGTGTGTTTCGGCACAGTACAGTCATTGCACAAACACAACCTGGACAGGAAGTGTCATCGATCCCCGCCTCAATTAATTAATCATCAACTGTTTGTCCGTGTTTGAAGCTTTAATTTGTTTGTAAGATGTAAGAACACAAAATCAGTGAGCGACACAAAGGAGAAGTGGACTCATGCAAACTTTTTGATCTTTTTCTTGAAGGGTTAATTTCGAGACTTACAACCCTGCCAAAAAATCAAGACACATTGGGACCATTATGGTTTCCGTTTTATCTTCTAGTATCTTTTTTTAAAACACCCCTGAACTCTTGAATGTCTGCTCGTCGCAAACTGGTTATTAGGTTACACAAACACAATAAATAGTCTGATCAGATGATGGAAAAGTTAAAATATCTACACGGCTGTATCTGACTGAAATGGCTCAAAAGAAGCCACATAGTCAGTAAAGTAGCTGTCATGTTCTCTGTGTTGTTCTCTGATGTGCGAGATCGATTGTGCGTCCCTTTTTTATGTTTTATTATTCAGCCTGCCTGTCTTGTAAATGAAGCGAGCTTCATGTTGATGTGAAGCCGTTCATGTGTTGTATTACGGCCCGGTTAGTACCGGAGCAGTGTGAGTGCAGGCCAGCGGTACAGAGCAACATGTTCCAGTGTGAGTGTGCTCTTAAACTACTTCAGGTGTTTTTTTCTTGGTCAAACTCTTTAAATTACTTTCTTTCTGTGCGTGTCATCTCACTGTGTTTTTCACTCTTCCCTCTCCAGCTGAGTTTTTCGAGGTTGAGTCTGATTTTCATGCCAAAGTTCCTGCTGTGTTCTGTCGGGATGTCAGCAGGTGAGCATTTAAATACATCATCATTTAGTCCGTCCACACATGTAGAGAATGACTTTAGGTGTGTTATCTTTGTTTTTAATAGTTGGTGGTCTTGACCTCGATGTTAAGGTCAGGTTTATCTTTTCATGACTGTTTTTAGATTATTACACTTCACACTTCTGAGTCAGCTGTCAGATGATTTGTTGTCCATTTTTTTTAAAGCTTATCAATATGTCCAACATACAAAGATATGAATCATTTGTTAGGGTTAGGGATGTTTTACTTTCAATTTGAGTCTGCTGGTTGCTGCTGAAGGAAACATGAATATCTGAGCTTTAGGCTGAAGTTGGTCTTTTTTTAATAAACTCTTCTAAAGCTGAAGTGCTGTTAATGTCATATTCACTTCATGTTGGCCGTCAGGGTTTCTGTGAGTCCTTCTGTTTAATCATGTTGTTCTCGGTCATGCTGGGCCAGATAAGGGTAGTTTAGTTTGAATTTTAGAATTATATCCAACCATTCATACTTGTTGTCTGCACCTCTGTTTTCTGTGCAGCGGCTTAATGTGCAAAGTGAGCGCAGGAAATGAAGTTGCTTGTCTCACCACCAATCACCTGGCAGCCCTCGCTAAACTGGAGCCCAGAGTGGTTCCCCTGGTGCTGGCCTTCCGCTACTGGGCGAGGGTAAGCCTGACAACGACAGTGACTCACTAGCTTAAACAGGAAGTGATCATTCGATTTGCTTCAGTGCGTTTAGTGTGTTTTCTTTTTTTTATGAACAGCACCTCCACCCCTGAACCAACAAGATGTATCACCAATATGTCAGAAAATAGAAATCACATGTGATGTTCCTAATAAGGAGGTTTTGATATAAAGGCTCTAAAGCAGACGCTGTTTTTTCTCTTCATCGTGCAGCTGTGTCACATTGACCACCAGTCTGAAGGTGGCATCCCCTCCTACTCCTTCGCCCTCATGGTCATCTTCTTCCTGCAACAGAGGAAAGAGCCCATCCTCCCTGTGTACCTGGGCCGCTGGGTAGGTTGAATGTCTCTCAGAGGCTCTGAAAAATGTCTGCCCCCTCAACAGCAGAGGATGTTGGTACTTAAAGCAGTACAACAGAGGAGTCATCTGGATGCAAAAACAGGGCATTTAACTTCATGGTCTGTCATTTATTCACTGCTTGCCGAGTAAGAGATTAAAACTTATTCATTCACATGAACGTTTGGTGATGCGCTGATTTTCTTCATTACGTCTGACTTTGTTTTTCTTTTGTTCAGATCGAAGGATTCGATGTGAAACGTGTGGACGAGTATCATCTCACTGGAATCGCACTGGACCTGTTCGTCCGATGGGAGCGCAGACCTCAGAGCTCCACGGACGGACGCGGGGAGAACCGAAACGAAGCAAGGGGAGAAGGAAGACCCAAACCGGAGCAGAAAAAAACAGAAGACTCTCATTACTCGGAAGGACTGGTGAGTCTCGCTGCTTCTTTTGTAAAAAACAAAAAAAACAATTTAGACTGCCTTTGATTCAGATTTAAGTCACAGTGGACCCTGTTGAAATTCTTCTTTTGCTTTCAGACCCGGCTGACCCTTGACCTGGGGAAAGGTGTGTCACTGGGTCAGCTGTGGTTGGAGCTCTTGCGTTTCTACACTCTGGAGTTTGCACTTGAAGAATCCATCATCAGCATCCGTTTGAAGGAGCTCCTCTCCAGGGAAGTGAAGAACTGGCCTCGTCGCAGGCTCGCTATCGAAGGTAAGAGACCGCTCTGTTAGAAAAGTCCAATCTCACAGAAAGAAGAAGAATGTTATGAGAATTCACTCTGTGTTCCCTTTTCTTCTGTGTTTAGATCCGTTCGCCTTGAAGAGGAATGTCGCGCGCAGCTTAAACAGCCAAATGGTGTTTGAGTACATCCAGGAGCGCTTCCGTACGGCTTATAAATACTTTGCTTGCCCTCAGAGACGGGGAGCGGGCAGGCGACAGAGACGAATGAAGTCAGGACAGCAAGGTGCAAAGTGTGAAGAGCTTGAGAAGACAGAGGCGGCTTGTGTAAACAAGAGCGAAGACGACGGGAATGTTGTAAAAGGTCAGAGGGGTCATGGAGGTTTGAAAAAGGACGATGAAGCCGACAGTGAGGATGAAGATGGATCAGATCCGTCCAGAAAGGAGGAGGAGAAGACTTTAGATGCCAGTCTCATGGACATGGTTCTCAATGAGGGGAACAAACCTTCCTTCTCCCCCAACGGCCTGCTGGACAGTGACAAAGAGGGGGAGGAGGAGGAAGAGGAGGAGGAAGAGGAAGAAAGCTGTGGACCTGTTGCATCAGAGGATCTGCACTATGTGTTTGATAAGATGATTTTCACTGGTGGAAAGGTAACTGATTAATAACCATGCACCCGTTTATTATCTGTAGTTTTTACTATATGTGCATTGTGTGGCTACAGCCCATCTGTTGCTACAGCTACAGCCCGTCTGAGGCCACAGCTACAGCCCGTCTGAGGCCACAGCTACAGCCCGTCTGTGGCCACAGCTACTGCCCGTCTGAGGCCACAGCTACTGCCCGTCTGAGGCCACAGCTACAGCCCGTCTGAGGCCACAGCTACAGCCCGTCTGAGGCCACAGCTACAGCCCGTCTGAGGCCACAGCTACAGCCCATCTGAGGCCACAGCTACAGCCCGTCTGAGGCCACAGCTACAGCCCGTCTGAGGCCACAGCTACAGCCCATCTGAGGCCACAGCTACAGCCCGTCTTAGGCCACAGCTACTGCCCATCTGAGGCCACAGCTACAGCCCATCTGAGGCCACAGCTACAGCCTGTCTTAGGCCACAGCTACTGCCCATCTGAGGCCACAGCTACAGCCCATCTGAGGCCACAGCTACAGCCCGTCTTAGGCCACAGCTACAGCCCATCTGAGGCCACAGCTACAGCCCGTCTGTGGCCACAGCTACAGCCGTCTGTGGCTACAGCCCGTCTGAGGCCACAGCTACAGCCGCCTGTGGCTACAGCCCGCCTGTGGCTACAGCCTGTCTGTGGCTACAGCTACAGCCCGTCTGTGGCTACAGCTACAGCCCGTCTGAGGCCACAGCCCGTCTGAGGCCACAGCCCGTCTGAGGCCACAGCTACAGCCTGTCTGTTGCTACAGCCTGTCTGTTGCTACAGCCTGTCTGTGGCTACAGCCCCAGCTTGTGGCAGAAGGCTGCGTTACATCTTGGACATAATATTTGACCTACATTGAGGGCCAACATTTTAAATTATTAGTAATGAGTTAAACTGAGTAGTTATTTTAGTGCCGCCTAGCGAGGATGAAAACTTTTATTATTCATTTTTAGCTGACCAAATGGTCACAAAGTTAAAGTCATGTTAAGCCTAGTTATTTGATTGAACTCTTTTTTCTTTTTCCTCCCAGCCTCCGACTGTTGTGTGCAGCATCTGCAAACGTGACGGTCACCTGAAGGACGAGTGCCCTGAGGACTTTAAGAAGATCGAGCTGAAGCCTCTGCCCCCCATGAACGACCGCTTCAGAGATATTCTCGACGGCCTCTGCAAACTCTGCTTCTGTACGACCATTTACATTTATATTTATCATTGCATACAAATATGTGGAAAGACACAAACGGATTGCACTTTGTATAAAACAAATCAGCACATTTCTGAACCAAGAACTACAAAATGTTTGTGATTTTGCTTGAACAATAACTTCAAACAATGAATCCATGCTGTTGTAGATGAATTGTCACCGTCACATGCAGAGCAGCAGAAGAGGGAACAGATCCTCTTAAGTCTGGAGAGGTTCATAAGGAAGGAGTACAACGGTGAGCTTTGGACTTAAACCACTACACACCTCGGTCTGGTTTATGTACAGTACTGGGCAGTAGCTCAGTCTGTAGGGACTTGGGTTGGGAACCAGATGGTCGCTTGTACCAGCTGGAGAGGTGCCATTGAGCAGAGCACACTGTACACTTGTGAAGCTTTTTAATGTGCTGTAGAAACAGATTAGACTTTCAGTAACATCATTGTTGTTGCTTTATTTAGCGAGACTCAACAGACTGAACCTCTGGGTATTATTTGGGAAATCCATTCTTAACTTTTGATTTCAATAATGACAAAGAGAATGTGTTTCCACACCGGGATAGAAGTGAATAAATCTTTCTCTGCGTGTGAATCCTCAGATAAAGCTCAGCTCTGCTTGTTTGGCTCCTCCAAGAACGGCTTTGGCTTCCGCGACAGTGACCTCGACATCTGCATGACCCTGGAGGGTCACGAGACTGCAGAGGTAGGCTGACCAAGCACACACACACACACACACACACGAACTCCGTCTTTGTTGTGAGATAATAAATAAATGACATTTTCAAACTTTGTACAATCAGAATCTGAACTGCAAAGAGATCATCGAGGGGCTCGCCAAAGTGCTGAAGAAGCATACAGGTGAATAAACGTGATCCGGATTCTTTATGACTCGTTTGTTTTTGTTCTGCTGGAGAATGAAAGTGACCGGCTGGGCGTCTCGTTTCCCTGTCATCGTAGGTTTGAGGAACATCTTGCCTATCACAACAGCTAAAGTGCCTATTGTGAAGTTTGAACACAGACAGAGTGGTCTGGAGGGAGACATCAGCCTCTACAACACGCTGGTGAGTGAAGAATGTCACGCCGTATAACCTGCTTTATGAAGTGCTCGGATGAGCCTTTTAGTCAAAGTGTTGCTTTGTTTCTGCAGGCTCAACACAACACCAGAATGCTTGCTACGTATGCAGCTCTGGACCCACGCGTGCAATTCCTGGGATACACAATGAAGGTCTTCGCCAAGGTAAGTTACAGAAGTCCGATCTGATTCAGTGACTCTTTGCAAAGTAAAGTTAGCAGCTTTCTGTCTGGATCAAACTGATGCTAACAATCTCTGACAGGTATTATCCAGAAACCACATGTTGATTGGCTGTCCCAGCTTTTTCAAAAAATGTATTACTGGATTTATTTATTTATTCTGTTTAACCAAGCCTGCTTCCAGTAGATCACAAAACACACACAACCGGACAATTTCACTCTTACCTTGTGCAATAATAATGTTATATTATGTTTATCAAACCACTCTGTGCAATAACATGTTACACTTTATGTGCATGTTTGTGTTACACTGAATATTCTGATGCTCTCAGCTGATCTATTCTTTTTAATCTATATTGTGGTATCTATTTTTTGTACATTATTATTTTTTATTTAAATTGTGCACTGTGTTCACTTTTGTTTGCAGTCTTTGTTGCTGTAACACTAAATTTGCCCGTTGTGGGATAAATAAAGGATTATCTTATCTTGTGCTAAAAATGATCCTAGCAAGTTAATCCAGCTGTAGACTTACTGCATACAAATATTGTATATAAATAGGTAGTGTGTGTGTGTGTGCATCATTGGCTTCTCCAGCAGCACCTGTTGAGTTAATCAAGGAGTGTGCATTTAGCCTTTTGACTATATCGTCAGTGTTTCACAGAGTCTGTGTGGAAACATTCCAACAGAAACCGTCATCCAACGTTAAAGTTACAGATTGGTGCCACGCTCACCTACAACTCATACCTGCATTAACTGGATCACGTGCGTTCCTGACTGTAGTACTTTGTCTGTACTGATCAACTGCATTATGATGCACTAAAAGAAAATGGGTGCACGTTGTGACTGTTGTCTGTGTGTGGAGAAAGAAGCTGCAGCTTCACCAAACATCCTTAAAACTCTGCTTACTTTTTAACATGACTGTTTGGGTACAAACATTTACCCAAATCAGCCAAACGGGAAAACTATCAACGATCTGCACTGGGCGGCGATTAATTCCGGACGCTGGGTTTACCTTTTTGTTGAAGAATAAGATAAAAACAGCGTTATGATTCTCTCTCTTGAAACCAAAAGGTGTCAATGGTCTTAGTAAGTTTGACCTCTGTTTTGTCTGTTGCCTCTGTGGTTTGTTTTTGTGTGATTACTTGCTGTGTGACTGGATTGTTTTTGTGCACACAGCGCTGCGACATCGGGGATGCGTCCAGAGGAAGCCTCTCTTCTTATGCATACATTCTGATGGTGCTATACTTCCTGCAGCAGAGGCAGACTCCGGTCATTCCCGTCCTGCAGGAGGTAGCCCCCCCCTCTCTAAAAATCACACACCCTAATTTAAATGTGTAAAACTGAGCTCTGAATAAACATCTCTGTATGATGTCTGTTTAGATCTTTGATGGGAAGACCGTTCCCCAGAGGATGGTAGACGGCTGGAACGCTTTCTTTTTTGATGACCTCGAGGATCTGGTGAGTTGAATGAAGATGACTTTACTAAATTCAAACATGAACTCATCATCTGGTATCAAAATCACAGTAAGAGTTTTGGCAGATTGTTCAGTTTGTGGGTAAAAGTCCAAATCTGCTTGATACTAAAAGTTCTTCTGTTGACGCAGCGTCGGCTCCTCTCTGATGTGCCGCCGAACACAGAGTCCGTGGGAGAGCTGTGGCTCGGACTCCTGCGCTTTTACACCGAGGAATTTGACTTCAAAGAGCACGTCATCAGCATCCGTCAAAGGAAACGCCTTACCACCTTTGAGAAACAGTGGACCAGTAAATGCATCGCTATCGAAGGTGCTCCCACAGATTCACTCTTTTATTTTTTTCCTCGCCTGTTTCTCAGTTTGACCGCTCACCTCTTCTACTCACCTGTCTGTTCTCCTCAGATCCCTTTGATTTGAATCATAATCTTGGTGCTGGAGTTTCTCGCAAAAGTAAGTTGAACCTACTTTATCGGATCCAAAAGTTACTATACTGTTATTAACTTCCCTTACAGGATACTTTTTCCACCTGAATCAGGATGTTTCTTCTTCATGAGGCACCTGTATTAAAGTGTTTGATAAAAGATGTAGTGGTTGATGTCACTGTTTGAACAGATTTGATGTTCTGCACTTTAAAAGAGCAATACATAACTCTGACCCCTAGTGTTTAAAATGGGTACTGCAGTCTAAATTCTAAACATTGTAGAGAGCTGAATCCCCCTCCTCCTCTCTAGAGTCGATGTTCACTCAGGTCACCATGTAGTGGACTCTGAAGCTTCAGTGTTTATCCAGCTCTGCATGGGTCTGTAAACCTTTCTGTGTTCTAACCTCTCTCCATTTTTCAAAAGCATCTCCAATATTGATCCTAGTTTGAGCACGTTTCTGCTCGTGGAGCTTATTAGAAACATGCAGAGGCTTTTTAGGTCGGGTACAATCACTTCTATCTGAACCACTTCTCTTGCCCGCTTCCATCACTGCAACACCTGTTGACCTGATAACTGCTCTCATATCTGACAAACCGAGGGGCGTCCAAAACGGCCACGTGGGGGGGTCGCCTTAAAAGCGCCTACCTTCTCTGGTCCAAACAAATCCAGAGCATTCAGGAGCAGAATCTAAAGTTAGAAGGAGGACATACTGGCTGCTGCATTGTTGTCAGAGTAGCCAGCACTTCAACATAGCATGTTTCCTTAATGTCTGATCAGATATTAGACATTCGTAGTTATCTTACTGATTGCTCCTTTGGTACTTTGTTGTGACCTTTCCTTTCTGTATACTAATGAACAACGTTCTGTTTTGCCCTCCTCTAGTGACAAACTTCATCATGAAGGCTTTTATAAATGGGAGGAAGTTGTTTGGAACTCCTTTCTACCCCGTCCCCGGCACTGAAGTGGTACGTCACTCATGACCAAACTAAATAATGTGAATGATTCAGAATTAAAATCCTATCGGCTTTGTCTTCTGATGAAACTGATTTTTGATTTTATTTCTTCCGCAGGACTACTTCTTTGACTCCAAGGTGTTGACGGACGGCGAGTTGGCACCAAACGACAGATGCTGCAGGATCTGTGGGAAGATTGGACATTACATGAAGGACTGTCCAAAGAGACGCAGGTTGTCCCCTCTTCATTCAAGGACTTATTTTTCTTACCTCGGTAGATTTCCAAGAAAATCTTAAAGACACTTCTATGAAGAAATAAATCTCTTATAATTAAAGATAGCTTCTACTTTGTGCTTTCTCACATTGTAAAAAAAACAAAACATAATAAGCTGATGAATTTTGAACCTTTTTTAAAGAATTACTGCTGACATTGTGATGTTGGGTTATTATTTCTATACATACAGTATAAGAAGGAGAGGTTAACATAGGCTGCTATGGGGATATTTTTGATGTTTGAGTCTGTGCAGGTTTATCCATTGTGAAGTAGCTATCGTAAAATCAGAAATATAAGCCACACCGGTAGATAAGAGGCACCTTGTTTTTTAAAGGTCCTCTCAGAGAAAACAAAAGTTTGAACTGTCCTCCTGCATGACGATTTCTATCATGTTCAGCGAAGTGTACAACATTCTGTTTCTGTGCAGCTGTGTCGCCTTTAGGGTCTGTTTTCATTTTGTGGAGTTTTCTCTCCTAGTAGCGACAGTACGATAGTCGAGCTTTCAGCCTGCAGGGAAAGTTGTGAGTGAAGCTCAGACCTCTAGCTTGCAGAAACCGACTCAGCTGGTCACTCTTTAATTTTAATATAGGACTCTTTCAATCAACAGATCACTCCACAAGGTTTATTTACAGATACCACTGTTTTCTGTTACGATTATGACCTCCTCAGAGAAAAGATGTGAAAAAGTTGCACTGCCAGACTGGTCTGTGTCGCCGTCTTCCCCAGCACAGCGTGCTAGCAGCTTTCAATACATGATGAATGGAGATGTGTTTTTAATCGCGTCAGGTTGCATGCAGTGTGTGATAGTGGCTGCTGAAACCGCGGTAACGACGGCGCGTGTGTCAGCATTTTATTCTGGTATATTGGTCGCACCGGTGTAAAAGAAGCAGCCAACTTTTCAGATGAAAAAATGCGTATTATATAGAGTATTTTACGGTACGTCAATGTAACTTATGTTTAAAGTATAATGACCCTTTATAGCTTTCCAGCTGAGGTCTAAAGCCACAGGACCACCGAGGGCTGCTCGATTATGGCAAAAATCACAATCACCATTACTCTGATTGAGAGTTATTAAACTCGATTACGCGTTGATTTTACAAAAGCAACAAGTGTCAAAGCACAGAAATGTCAACATTTTCTCAGAGTAGAAACAGCAACAGAAGCCAGAGGAGAGAGAGAATCAGACAGACAAAAAGATGAGCCTTCACAAAGGAGTAGACCAGCAACCACAAGATGAGTACAGACACCTGGAGGTGAGATGAAAGTCAGAAGCATCTTTGTTTAAAGTTCCTCTAAGTATTGGTGGTTTGCAGTTTGAGGGAGTCAGAGGTTTTTGTATTTTGTCCTCGTGTTTGCTCCTTAGAATCAGAATCAGATTTATTGTCCAGGTTTGCTTACACACACACACAAGGAATTTAACTTAATGAACTGTGCTCTCTTATATACAGGTACAACATTAATCAACAATAAACATGATAAGAAAAGACTAATATTTACATGATTAAATATGAAACAGTGCAGTGGTGAATAGTGCAAAAGATGCTGAAGTAACATGAGAAGTAAAATGCAGTTATGTGACAGATGGGTCAATTAAGATGTCAATTACAGTATTTACATAAATAAGTGTGCGTATATTATCATTTAAATTAATTAATATATATATATGTATGTATGTATATTCACAGTGACCAAATTAATTAAATAAAATAAATACCAAATGTTTCTGATTTACTCATCCCTGAACTTTCCTCTGCCAGGATAAAGAAGAAGGAAAACGACAAAGACGAGGACATCAAAGAGGAGGAGCGTGAGCCGAAGGATAGGCGCTGTTTTCAGTGCGGGGACATGGGCCACGTACGGAGGGACTGTCCCGAGTACCGCCACCTCAAGCAGAGGAACACCGGAGCACCAGGTAACAAAACTCACCTCACACAGGCAGGACACAAGTGTGTGAAAGATAACAAATGTCTAAAAGCTGCCACCTTCTTCCCCAGCTCCTCATATGGTACGAACGATTGTGAGCTCGCAGTCGGTTCCCATCCCTCAGGGGGACGGTCCTGGACGGAGCAGACAGCCCTCTGAATGTGTGAGTATAAAACGTCCACATTTCACTGATTTTTATTATCAGTGTGTGGCGACTGATTCTGATGATTATTTCTCTCAACAGTCCGACAGTCGGCAGACTCCACCGTACTCCCCACAGCCGTCAGCTGTCCCCCAAGGTTCCTCCCAGTCCTCCAGCTCCCCTCAGCCCTCCCACAGTAAGCCCAGCTCTGCGGGTCCCACCAAGCAGTCCGCTCACCCCCAGGTGCCCCTGTCTCTCTTCAGCTTCCCCACCTCTCACCCGAGCCAGTACCACCCGGGGGCGCTCACCGCACTGGGGCTTCTTCCCTCCCACCAGCACCAGTCCCACCACTCCCAGGGGCAGCCTCATCACCCAGTCCGCATCCCTTCCACCGCCTGGCCCATCCACGGACCGGTCCTCAACACGTCCTCGCCCACCGCCCCTTCCCCGCCCGGCCTGAAATTCGCCCTGCGCTCGGCATCGGGGAACGGGAGTCCCACGGGCTCAGGGGTCAACCCCAGCCCCATGAACCTGAACGACCCCAGCATCATCTTCGCCCAGCCGGCGGGGAGGCAGCTGGGCATGGGCGGGTCAGGACGGGAAGGACACTGGCACAACCACTTATCACAACCCGGGTCACTCATGGGAAATGGCACTGTGGTCAAGTCAGGTATTCACTGGGTGAACTTTGGTGGCACCGTGTGTGTGTGTGTGTGTGTGTGTGAGGCACTGAATATGTGTGTGTGTGTGTGTGTGTGTGTCTTTGTTTGTTTGTCCCTCAATCATTAAGATAAGATGAGATAATCCTTTATTTATCCCACAACGGGGAAATTTACATTGTTACAGCAGCAAAGATTGCAGACAAAAAGTGCAAACATAGTTCACAATTTAAATAAAAAAAAGAAAAATTAAGAATGTACAAAAAAATTACAGATACAAACACAGATTTCATTTTATCAGAGACGATATGTCCTGATTTAATTTAGGTCTTAGTCTGCAGCATAAATGATGACACTTCTTGTTCCTGACACCTTAAACACAGACCAAAGTAACATTCAGCAAAGTAACCTTGAGAGTGTGCTTTCCATCAGCAGGCAGCGCCCACAGCCGATTACTGTTGCTAGGCTACGCAGCACTTCCCCCTCCATGAGTAGTGACCGTTAAGTCTATGCTAAATATTTGCTTTTAATCAATAATCAGGAAAACATGAAGACAGTGTAACTGCATTGTGCCCTGACATCAGCAGCAGCTCTACACGCAGAAACTTAACCATATTGTTCTTGGCAACGCCGATATCTTAAGTCCCGCCCCTCCTTTCTTTCGGTTGGTCAGTGAGGGAGAATCGACATTGACGAGCATGGAGCTGTTCCAAAAGTTGACAGCCACAGCGCAGCAACAACAAACAGCTGGCACTGAGAGAGTTTTTGCCCTCAGGGCGTTTAAAAAAAACGCTAAGCTTTGCAGTTTTGTAAAGGCCCCGTGTCCACCTCGCGTTTTTCTTTTTCTGAGCGCCAGCGTTTATTTTCAATGAGTAGGAGGCGTGAGCATCAGCAGGCGGAGCCCTGAGCGCTCCGACTTTTTTGTTTAGCCACTCCGAGTGCTCAAGTTGTACATTTTTAAACTTTTCAGAAAGGCGCTGTTGACGTCACTGGCACTCCCTGTATTTTTTGTCGCTTACAGATCGTGTCTTGTACCCACATCGTCCTCACATTATTCTCACCACATTGACTTCTGATACAAAGATGTTGTTGGTGAAGGGACTGTTTGTCACAAGTTTCTTCTTTTAGTCCGTGTTTGAGGTTGTTTTGATCTTGTCTCTTCAGATTCAGGTCATCCGGCCCAGTTTGTTGGTGTGAGCCAAGGATCCCGGTTATGGGAGCACAATAAAGCCCCTCAGTACGCCCTCTCTCCATCCTGGCCCTACAGGATGCCCCAGAACTTCATCCAGCAGGGCAACGGAGGCTTCCAGCCCGGAAAACCCTTCGTCACCCAGGGTAAGATTTTCCTTCTTTTTTTTTTTTAAATGTTGCAGAGAGAAAATAAAATTTAAACTTCTGCTTTTAACTTTCTGTTGGCCTTTCTCTTTTCCTCTGCTCAGGTTCTGTGGTGCATCCTAATCCCAACTTCCCACTGGTCCCCCATCCAGTAAATGTCCGACACCCAGTCAATCTGAACTTCATCCAACAGAAGAAGTGAACTCACGTCTCCTTTTAATTCGATTTATGGGCTGTAAAAAAAACAAGCAAAATAATTTCCTCTTTTGCATCATTTGACCTGGAGAATTTTTAAAATGAATTTTATCATTTTTGTACAGTTTTTATGTTTGGTCTCATTACATTGATTTGTGATACAAATGTCAAATATTTTAATACCCCCATTTTTGAGGGGGTCCAAAAAAGTGTTTTTATTTTATGTGTAAAGTAAACAAGGACAAATGTAAACCTTTATTTTTATTAGCTGT